CCTTTTTGCTCAATATTGTGTGTATGAAAACTAAATTAATATTAGGGAACACGCAGTTTTCAAGAACTAACATAATTTAAGTCCTTTATAAGGACACGGAAATATTGCATTCCAAAAACGCATGACTGTAAACGGTATTAGGTGAAAGGAGTACTTTTTAAAAAAAGCACATCAACCTTTAACGTCTTCTAAGTGGTTAGCGTATTTTTCTAAAAAAAGGTTATCCTTTTTTCAGTGCACGCGTTTGTTTATTCGTTGATTTCGTCTCTTGTTCGACAGTATAAGTGCCAGGTGTTAGATAACGTTATAAATTAGGCTCATAATAAGGCAAATTTTTGTTGTTTTCAGATAAACCAGGCCAATTAGTTGTTCAAGTTAATCCAAGTGACGTTAATGCAAGATCAGCATTAATCACATGGTCGTATAGTCCAGGAGGGGATGAAATGCCTGTTACTGCCTACAATCTTGAGTATCGAAATAGTTCTTCTATAGATGATATACCTTTGGGACTTGTATTAAGTAAACGGATTTTCTACCTCAAGCCATACACAGCCTACAGTGTTAGGTTGATAGCCACAAGTGTCTTAGGAAAGGGTCTGTGGAGTGATTTCCAGAATTTCACGACAAAAACTGCCAGTAAGTGATGATGCAAATTAGATGCAGTGCTAAGAATGATAATTGTATAATACGTTCTTGTTCCAAAATATTGAACCGCGACATCGTTGTAGCGGCTCCACTTAGTTGAGTAATGAAATATTAACTACTCATCTAACATATGTTCCCATTAAAATCTGAAGAACTGTGACAGGTGTATATGCACACTAATTCCGCGTTTTTCCTTGTAGTAATCAGGAGTCCGGTCACAGGATAGAACTATTCATATTGAGTATCAATTGATCTAAACTTAACTTGTTACTTTCCATTTTTAGAGCCTGAAGTCGATGTCCAGATCGTGAGTGTAACAAGTCCTACTTCGCAGTCAATTTATGTGAAATGGCAGGTAAACATCATATTTATTTTAACAAAAACTCGTTCGTGTCCATAAGTACTTCGTTTGTCAAGAGGGTTGCCTATTATTTTCATGCCTCTTCAAAGACTATTACCCAGTCGCTATTGAGGTGCACGGATCTTCTCCTCGCCCCCCCAAACTATTCCCACCCCACACCCCCCCTTCCACGCCTCCATCTTCTCTTACTCCTAAACTCATAAATGGCGACTGTGTACGAATCTGGTTTCTTCAAACAGAAGAACCCGTGTAACCACTGCCATCTTTGTTCATTCATGTTCACTGCTTTGTGTAAACAACGGAAAAAAGTGTAGGCTTGAACTTGTCTGCATCAATTCCGCAAATTTATCATTTTTAGATCTTAAAGTTTAACGGCGTTCACTGTTAAGAGGTTTGAAAATAAACATAGATAATGGGGAAAGGAGACTGGTTATGAAAGCTGGCAAACATCGAAGATAAAAATGAAAGTGCTGCAGGTTATGTTGGGAGGTTTGTAACGGTGCACAATCCTTTGTTTTTTGTTCATGAATTATGACCAAAGGAATTAATGCAACATGATAGAAATAATATTGAACGTTATGCACCGTCAAGCTCCTAAAAAGATAACAGAAGCATTTATTTAACGATGTATTACTTGAACACTAATTTAGTCAAGTTCATGTCGTAGACACCAAGCACCACCAATTTAAACGGACCCCTTAGAGGGTATAGCATTGAATACATGGAAGCAGGGAAATCTTCCTCGAAAGTCAATGTCAGTGGATCAACCTCCAGTCATACTTTAGAGAACCTGAAGAAATGGACAGTGTATTTCATTAAAATGGCAGTCAGTAATGGCGACTTTCTTGGTCCACCGGGTCCTGAAAAGCAAGTTCGGACGCTAGAAGATGGTTTGTATACTCCTTGACTTAAGCTTGTTTTACTTCAGCTTTTTTTCTACAAGTACCTGTTTCTTTTCCCTCTTATCACTTCCAGAACATGAAACAAAAAACTAGCAAAAGCAGAGCAGTCGACTTTCACCTCTGTCTCTCAACCTTTTTCTTTAATTTAGCCCCCAGCAAACCACTGAATCTATTGTTCACCTTCCAAAAGCCAAGTGAAATAGCGATGCCGAGAATGACCGTCCACTGGCAACAACCTGCTGAACCAAGTGGTATCATCAGAAAATATAGATTGGTTTTCACCTATACCATTGACGGAAGACAAACTACCATTACAAGTGAAACAAATAATCAGACCTTTAGCTACAGTCTAGATGTTTTCGGTGGAATACAGTACAGTGTTGAAATTTGGGCAGAAACTGTTAAACCTGGGCCAACGCTAACTGGAGCTAAACAAGTACCAGAATACAGTAAGTATCTGCTTTTCAGTTTCCTGCTCTCAGTGCTATTGTATCAGCGGTCCTTTAAAAGATGATGTGTGTAAACGGAATTCGTAAGGGAAATGAGAAGCACTGAGAAGCTATACAGCTCTGAGCTGCAAGTCCTTAAGAAATGAAAGAGAGATATTCCTTCTGCTTAAAAAGCCCTATAACGCCTGCAAACAGGAAAGAAAAGAAGGGGAAGATTCCCAAGCCCATTTTTGAAGTACTTCTGCCAATGAACATCGTGTTCAGTGAAATCTATAGTGTGTATTGAATATATGGTTAAATTTTTTAACGCTCTACTTCAATCTCGAATAGTTACTTGTCATTTACAATTTTTCGGTTATCGCAAGATTGTATTCTCACCAATTGCTTCTTTTTTCATTCTTTTTGCAGAACCAAGCGCGCTACCTCAAAACATAACCTCTGAAAAGATGAACAAAACAACATACAAAATAAGTTGGAATCTTCTTCCCAGAGACAAGACCAATGGTAGAGTGATCGCATTTGAAGTGAATCAGACAACGCTTTCTATTACACGCACTGCAAGATCTGCGTCCACTTCGTCAGTTCTACAAAACACATCCGACACTTTTATCGTTTTAACTGGTCTTTCAACGTGCTCTGTTTACAAAGTTGAAGTGCGTGCCTACACTTCTGCTGGGCCAGGAGTCTTTGGTAGACTTAATCGTGACATCGCGACTTCAGGTATTTCAATGTAGTCATAAATCGACTTAAAACGGACACAAAAGGGGCAGAGCCGAGCGTGCGCGTTATAGAGGAGTCCCTTTAGAGATAAACTGTCCAAAATAGAGAAGTGTTAAAATTATGTATGATCTCCAAGGGAAACTGAGTCGCTTCTTTCACAGAACTAATATTAAGCTATACAGGGAAAACTTTCCGTTCCAAAGAAAGCAAATACATAACGAAGTATTAAGTATCCTCGAAAATGCTCTTAACCGGAAGGCCGATTTATTTAACTCGTTCTCATCTATTGTAAGTGTGTCCGTCGCTTACAATCATTGCAAATGATCATTACTGATTGGTTGTAGTTCCAAGTGAACCAACTAACGTGAAGACGGAAAATCCTGGTAAACGGAACAAAACCTTGCGGTGGGGTTAAACCGAAACTACACAGCATTGATAATAGGCCACCAGTTGGATTTTACTAAATATATACATATTGTATATGATCCAATGTCAAATGGTTACTGAAATCCCAGTAATAACGTTTACGCGCCGCGAAAAAGGCGCTTGACTGTTATCTTATTAAGAGATTTGGGCAACAGAAACAATATTAAGCGACTTCCACTTATCCTCGGTCAGTGTATTTGAAGTTTCTCACTGCCTCCCACATCTGGCACCAATCTTGCTGTAACCTGATGCTCCGAAGTGAATGGGGCCGTTTCGGTGACTAAAATAAAGAGAGGATCTTGCAAAAAAGAAAATACAGCTGTTTTTGGGTCTAATTTGGTTATCTTAATTAGGGCCAATAAAGACTAATTTTCTAGGACTCATTGGAATTTACAAGCTCAAATGGGTCTCAAAAAGACCTGGAAAAGATATACGATGGGGCTGCTGGTTTGGTCAAATGGCTCCACGAATCCGGTTAAGTCATACTTTCTAGTCGAAGGGTTAGATTAGAACTTCGGGACCAAGGAAGATCTTTCTAACATTCAGTCCACGGTGGGGTTATCCATCAGTGGATAACAACCTCCTTAAAAGAAACAAGAAGGTTTAGAGCTCTTACATCTAGAGTCTGCACGTCTGAGTACCACTCTAATTTTAAGATCAAAATTATGATTATGATTATGATAAAAATATAAATACAAACAATGAATTGTTCGTAAGATCTTAAAAACATGAACATCAATCGCATTCACTGCATTTGTAACAAAACAATTGCCTCTTTTTACTGAATTACCAGACATTGACGAGTGTGCTGTGTCTAATGGCGGCTGTAGTCACAAGCGTGTCAACATTGTGGGAGGCTTCAAATGTGAATGCCCTGACCCTGAACTGAGCATGTCATCTGACAACAAGAACTGTTACGGTAAGTATAAAAGAATAGCTGCTCTCTGACGTTCAATATTAACTTAAAAAAATAATAATTTAAATGTAGGAAATTAAAACTCAATGTCTGAATCCAATAGTAAGCTAGATAGGCCAACAAAATGTTAACTGGGTTCGCAAAGAATGCTTTGCTACTCTAGTTATTTTTCTGTTAATCGTTTTATTTTAGCTCCAGGTGTTAACGTGCAGTGTAAGAGTGAAAACATGACCATCATCATACCCAAGTCCCTCCTCTTTCGTATTGACCGTGAACACCTTCGACTCTTGGACACCAGTTGCAAAGCTGCAGAGAATACCACCCACTTCTCACTCACAACACCGCTGACTGGCTGTAACACAACAAGCAGGCACACACCCACAGCTATCGTCTACTCCAACGCAGTCTTAGACATGCCCGTGGCTGTTAAAAATGTGGTGACACGTGTTCGTGAATTAGAAATACAATTCAGCTGTTTTTACAGCAAACGTGGCGTGGTTTCATCAGTTGTTTGGAAAGCAAGTAACAGAAAGCTTGTGTTTAGCAATGAAGGATAAGGGAATCTGAGACTCGCACTTGATATGTTTCCTAACAAAACATTCGTGAGTCCTTACACGAAGAGGGACTTCCCTGTGGCAGTGATACTTCGCAATCCCCTCTTCTTTGAAGTGTCTGTCATATCAGATGATAAGCAGCTGTCAATCAGAGCAGACCGCTGTTATGCCACGCCTACTCAGGATCGTACGAACCCTCTGAAGTATGAGTTCATTAAACAAGGGTACGACAAAAAAACATACATTATAGTACAATTACATTTCTCTGTAAAACAAAAAATGCAGTCAGTTAACTAACAGACGATACACGCGGACAGGGGACTGGAGCCGAAATGTGTCCCGCAGTGGTTTCTGGGATCGTTGTGGCGACGCACATGTCAGCTATTGGTCAATTTTGTCCTGTATCTAGTTAAAGTCCCAGAAGTCTTTGCGAAAGTTAACTCGGTCCAGTTTCCTTCCGGTTTTAAAAGTGGCAAATTGTTGTCGAACAAAAGCAATGTCATCTTAGCGGAAGGGGTTAGTGGAGTTGGGTGTGTTCTACGAGTTTTTACACTGACTCACCGGCGTAAAATTCGTTATGTAGTCGGCCGCTAAGTAATTCATGCACTTAATTTAAACGATTAAAGCAATTAATTAAACCGATATAGACACAGCATCTTCATTTCTTTTTATTTGTACTTATTTTTTAACTCAGTTATAAAGGCAGCTTCTACCTTTGATGCCATTTCTCTTAGATGCCCAAGTGATGCAACCTTACAGTACCATTCTGCGCCCTTAGCTGGTGTTCAGCGGTTTAGCCTGGAAGCCTTCAAGTTTATTGCAGATCATCCATTTGTTTTTCTTCACTGTCACGTGATCCTTTGCAATGCCTCTGACCCAGGGTCCATATGCAATAAAAGCTGTTCAGCGGAAGGCGACAGACGAAGACGTGAAGTTAGTCCCCAAGAAAATAACCCCTACACTTTGGGAGAAGGTCCAATCTACCTGGTACGCGGAAAAGAAGAGGAAATACAATCTAGTGGTCTGGGTATGAGGGGTATGTATCAGTGGGCATGTAGCATAACATTTACAATATGACTGAAATAATCAGCATTTGGTTCCAGTTTAAAACTGCAATACCAGTTTCAAACTGCAATTCCCTGAAATAGGTATTAAGAAGTGTGTCCCGTTTCTTCATTCCCGACCATTTTGTTGATTCTGAAGCTAAATTTCATCTTTCTAGGTTCCAGTCCCTCCATTATAATGGCTCTACTTGTGACAAGTATCGCCTTTCAGTGTGTACACCGCTGAAAACCGTTAAGAAGTCACCTGACAGGACTAATGGTAATATCAAGTTACGACAAAAGATGAAAGCATGCTTATTTACGTATTATGCTTATTCCAGACGGATAGAACGTCTGACGATCGTTTCCGGGACAAACGTCAATCTTCACATGCCACGAACAAAACTAAAGCTTTAGTAACACGGGCAACAAAAAAGTGCAACTTGTTTTGCAGCATTGCGGCAAAACGAGTTGAATAGCGTTGTTGCGCGTTTTGCGTTTTACCACCCACGTTCAAACCTGTTAACAACTTTATTTGTTGCAAGACAGGTTTGATGTGAGTGGTAAAACGCCCAACATCGTTGTTCAACTCGTTTTGCATCGATGTTGGAAGACAAGCTGCACGTTTTTTGTGGCACGGAAATAAAAGATTTGCATGATAATGTATATTCAGGTACCCTTAGACAAAGAAGATTTGAATAATTTTGAGTGGAATTATTGGGCACTTTTCATTTAAATTTTAATTGGAAAGGGAACTAACTTGATTATAGACCTTTTAAGCTTGCATGTTTCGTTTTCTCAATTCAGATCACGGGATTTTCTCAATAGTCCTTCCATAAATTATGCATCCAAATGCACGTGGGTAGGACGACATTTGAACGAAAGAGTTTCCGAGAAACCTAAATTGATCCAGAAATTGTCATGTTCTGATTCTGTACCTGTAGTTCTTGAAGTTGACTCCAGGAAGTTTCAGTATAAAGTCCTAATTGAAAATAGGAGAGAAACATGACATACGAGTAAGTGGCGATAGCTTTTCTGGCGCCACTTGTTTAAAAGGCAGATAATGCTATCCACCAAATTGATCTCCATCCAATGGATAGCGCAGTTGCTTTCTCTGATACTTGTCCTCTGTATAGCGCAATGCTACTTAAAGTAACAGACAAACGCTAAACTAACTTACAATATCAATCAAACCATATAGGGATTATAAACAAACGTTATGATCATTACACGTTTCTAGAAAATTGCCCACCTACCTCTCCCCTAAACCAACGTTTTGCCCTAAGTGAGAAGTAAGTGTTAATGTTAATTTATGGGAGGGGTAGGTAGGCAGTTTCCCAGAAACGTACAATGATCCCGAGTTTATAAGATCAAGACAGCAGAAAATTTTGGAAACTTGAAGGGCGCCGTCAAAGAACCAATGAATGATGCGTGAAAATTAGGAAGCTTTTGGAATATGATGAACTTACGTCGTCCTCAGGCATCTACCGCGGCCCTCGTTTCCAACCGTCAAACCAAACGCTTCAAAGGACTCTTAAAAACAGATACACATGATAGGTTCTGTCGTTAATTTTAAAATGAGTCTCTGCACTCTTTGATCTTTTGGATGAGAATTACATGGTCCATTTACCTTTCCCTTTATCGTGTTTGGTAGAAAACAAATTAAATAAAGATTATTTCATTATTTCACAAAGAATAAGCATTTTCCTTTTTGAATTACAATACCCTTTCAGCTTCTTTCGCATAGCCTGAATTTCAGCCGGCTCCTCGAGTCGCATACTCCCTAAAGGGACGTCTGAATCAACGAGCTTAGCTGCTAATGCAGTCCAGTAAGATCAGACTATTAAATAATAATTTACCAATTTATATAGCGCGTATTTACATGTGCTGATCAATAGCGCTTTACAATCATATGTTTAAAAGAAAACGAAAATACATTACCGTGA